CTATTTATAGACTTTAGAGCCCAAAGTAGGTACTATTTGTAGACTTGGAGCCCTAGGGTTCGTCTGGAACGGTTGTGTCAACAACGTTCAAAAAGGGGGCTTCTAGGGTTTTGCAGGGTTTTGGGCTTAGGGGCCTGTAAGACTTAGAATACGGTTTTGGGTGTCCCGCAAGCTAGTAGGAGCTTAGTTTGTGAACTCCAGACATCACAACCCTAAACCCTAAACCCTAAACCCTCCCTTTTTGAAGGACCCCTTGCAACAAGAGGGCCAGGCCCTAGCCGGGCCAGGTCTTGCTGCCGAGTCCTCATCCCGGGCAAAAGCAGCCACGGCAGCGTTGTAGCTCACAACATCCTGAGATGAAGACTCTTTGCTTTTAGGTTTTGGGGTTTATGGTTTTAGATTTTTTTCGGTTTGGGGTTTAGGGGTTTAGGGGTTTTAGGGGTTTTAGGGGTTTCGGGTTTAAGGTTTAGGGGTGAGGTCCACAGGACCATTTCAGGATTCAGCGGCTTTACTCATACATCTTCAGCCCCAGCCCGGAAATCCTACAAACTAGGGTTTAAGGTTTAGGGGTTTAGGGTTTAGGGTTTAGGGTTTAGGGATTAGGCTTTAGGGTTTAGGCCTCTTTGGACCAGACAACCCGAAAGCCCTCCAACGTGAAGCTCTGCACCTTGCTAATTATGGGGGGTTTCTGAAAATAGGGGACCCCAATATAGTACCCTACATAATAGGATCCTTAATGTAAGGACCCCAAAATAAGGTACCCCTAATTTTCGGAAACTCCCAGAAAGGGGCCTTGCTAATTGGAATACAGGGACTGGGGCCCATTATACGATGGTTGCAATAAGGAACCCCCCAAAAAATAGTATTGGTAAGGTAATGATGTAGGCCCCCTAAACCCTAAACCCTAAACCCTGAACCCTAATGTAGGCCCCTACATTCTGGCTCGTGGCACAACAGCGAGGCTGCATCCTGCAGCACACGTTTTAAAATCACCCTAAACCCTAAACCCCTAAACCCCTAAACCCTATAGAAACCCTAAACTCTAATTGCGTGGGCAAACCTCGGGGTTCCTATGAGACTATGGCCTTAATTGCTATGGCCTTAATTGGGCCTTCGGGGTTTAGGGTTTAGGGTCTACCTTAAGAACCCAAAACCCACTCTTTTGTAGGTTCTTATTATAAACCCTAATATGGTTTTATAGGGACCCTACAAAAAAGTAGGTTTTGGGTTCTTAAGGTAGAATATGGCCTTCAGCCCTCGGGGTACAGTACGAAGACGTTGGGGTTGGTGGTTTAGGGGTTCAGCCCTCAACCTTAAACCCCTAAAAACCTACACCACGTGGGCTACTGTAGCCTAAGGCTTTGGAAAAAATACCGGACGCCCTTCTATCAACAACAGCTTCGAGAGTCGAGGTTTAGGTCTTCAGAAAATATGGCCAAGCATTCCACGCCCGGTATTCAACCCTTAGCCCTAAACCCTAAATCCTAAACCCTAAACCCTAAATCCTGAACCCTAAACCCTAAATCCTAAACCCTAAACAAGCCTTATATCTTCTGTTGTGTCACGGCTCCGGTTGAACGCCAGAAGCCTTCATCTGCGCCAAAGCAGTGAGCGACATCTTCCACTCTCGGGCTCTGGCCAGGCTGCTGATGACCTTCTGCGTGTAGGGGTGTAGGGTTTAGGGTTTAGGGTTTAATGGATCAGGGGGACGTAGTCCCCTAAAGCCTAAAACCCTAAAGCCTCGTAGTCCTACTTGTCCAGTATTTTGGGGAACTGAGGGTTCACCTTTACGGGCGTCTTTTGGGGATTCTATAGGGGTTCTAGACCCCCAGAAAGGTTGTCAAAGAAGGTTAAGCCCTAAACCCTAAACCCCAGAAAGGCGAAAGATGGTTATAAGGCTACACGCCTCTACCACTAGGTAGTAAGAAGGATTCTCAGGGGTTGCCCTAGGAGGTCCCTTTTGGGTTTAAAGCTTAATGTTTTGAGTGTGTGCGCTTTGGGGTACATAGTAGAGGATCAAGGGACTTAGTAAGTAGGTGTATCTGTGCGGTAGCTCTCGCTACAGCTATATCTTCTTATAGCCCTCATCAGCGTACTTGTAACCCCACGTAAGTAAGTAAGTGTCCATGAAAACTTAGGTATGTACTTTGGCCTGCAAGCGGCTCCCATACAGAAAAGTGACTTTGTTGTCAAGGCATATACTACGTAGGGAATTATATGGACCCTAGGCCCTATGGGGATATGTTTGGAGATTTGGGGTTGGGTGAATTCGGGCTTGGGTTTAAGGGAAACTGTTGAAGGTGTTCACCCTGGG